CTCTCTCTCTCTCTCTCTCTCTCTCTCTTATTCACAGTAACACTAAAGGAAATCGTGGGGAACTTTAGTAAAGTACAATGCTGTGGCACATGTGCCCAGGTTCAAAAATATATTAGTGTTCTGCCAAAGTTTTTAGTTAGCCAAGGACATTACTTTAAGAAAAGCTAATATTGGTTAATCTTCCATCTTTTTCTCTAGCTCTGGGATTGAATTTCCTTATCTCAAAAATCCTCTCAAACAGTCATAAGCTTCTGTATTTCAAAGATGTTATTAAAAGTCAGTAGGGAAAAATGTATATCCTTTCACTCTCGTGAGATGTAGGCAAGAAATTAATATTGTGTAGCTTGTGTGTCTGGAGTATGGCACTAAGCCTAAGGTCTTATGCTCTGCCAATGAACTATAGCCCTAGGCCAATGCATTGTTTTAAAACTGCATTATCTAGATGCTCTAGTAAACAAATTCCTTCAGTGAAAGTTTCTGAGGCATCTATAAGGTCATATCTAAGATTCCTCATTCAACAACTTTACTAAACACTGATCTCGCCTCAGGTACCAGGATGTCAAAGGTAAATATGGTAATTCTTGGCCTAAAATATCCCAGTCTAATGTGAAGAGCACACAAAAAAATCATCAAGTTTAACATAGAATTTATTAATCAACATGTGTTCATTGAGAACCAATCAATCAATCTAGAATAATTTGTCCAGTCTCTCATGAGAGAATAGAAATATTGAAATGGCTATGAGGTATGCAAATGAGGTGAATAATTAGTACACTTTGGAAGTATTTTTAAGGTATCAAATTAATAGTTGAAACTTCCCTCCAAATATTTTGGTTCCTTCTCAGCTTCCCCACCTTTCCATTTTCTTTCTTTTTTTCCCCATAACTTTTTTATTGAGTCTTTGTGTATTTCACATCATGCATCCCAATGTCATTCATCTCCCAGGCCCCTCATATCCACCCTCTGCCCTTGCAACCCTCCCCCAAAATAAAAGAAAAGAAAATTTAAAGAAAAAAAAATTCATTGTGGAAGCTGTAGTGACGCAGTGACTCTCACAGTATAGCCCTTAATCCATACATCTTTACTTGCAGATTTTCATTGCAATAAGTCACTGGTCTGGTTAGAGTCTTCCAGTTTCTGCTACACTATCAATACTGGGTCTTCACTGGGACTCCTTTTGGATATCTTATTGTTGCCCTGTGTGGTGGCAATCCTGCCACTATGGGTCTGCAGGACCAGCCACTTCACGTGCTCCAGCATTTCATAGATATAGCCTTGGATCTGAGTCTGTGGAGGCCCACAAAGGTTTCCTAGTGAGATCTGAGCTTGCTTTACCGAGCAGGGCTGCATTAGGGGATGTTTGACCTGACCACGTGTGTGGTTACCAGGTGATAGGAAAGGGTCTGTATTTGGCTGTGCTAGGGGGAAGTCTTTTGCTCCACCCCTTGGCATTTCTATAAAAGACCCTTTCAAAGAGACAGAAGGGGCTGGTGGATAATGATCCAGGTCCTCCCGAGGCTATCCTGTGTTTCTATTTTTCTCCCCTCTATCCTTCTATCTAAATATTTCTTGCTTCTCCCTCCTCAAGAATACTCTGGGGGAAAAGTGAAAGGGACCTCCCACAGAGAAAGGGGTAACTGAGTATGGATTGTAACTGCATGGGTCAGCCCACTAACTCTCCCTCAATCTCACCAGGAGGCTGAGCTCTCCAGCACTGCTCTGGCTAGTTCACCAAATGCAGCAAGCAGCAAGAAGGGCCAGTTCTCCTGCTCACATGCCCTCAGGCATGTTCTCCCACACCTACATCTTCAGGGCTAGCTTTCTGGAGTGCTGCAGTTGGTGAGGAGCAGATCTAGCTTGCCTGCTCTCCACACTTCCATTTTCAATATATAGTTTTGTTTCACTTATTTGTATCTCAGTTGCTTAAATGGATTTACGTTGTAAATGCTAACACATCTCACTGATTATTTTTTGAATTTTTAAGTACAAAGGAACAGTGATGTTTAAGCTGCCCATCTTTATAACTATGATCGTACGAGGCCATTTTCCATACAAATTTACTTATCACTAAATTTGGGTTTTATAATTGCATTGACAGGAAAACAGGTAGTCTGTAAAGAGTGTAATGGCATGAAAGGCTTTAAGCATTCTGTTGCTGTTGCTTGCTTAGTTTTTGTTTGGGATTTTTGGAGACGGGGTCTCACTGTATAGCCAGCCTAAACTGACCATAAACTGACCACCTAGCTCACACATCCTTCACTCTGTGATCTGCCTGTTTGTACCACATGAGTCTTGGGATCAAGACGAGCACCATCACATCTAGCTTTAAAAGTGTTGAGTTTTTATCCAAGGCCCTGATTTCCTTGGCAAGCTACCCTGTCCTATTTATTTAACTTTAACGATGTTTACTGGGGATAGGATGTAGCACTGTTACAAAGAACTTACCTAATACGCACAAGGGCAACACCTAGCACGCACACACACACACACACACACAAAAAAAAAAAAAAAAACCAGCATTAGCAGTAATTGTACAAAGACAGAGGAATCGAGTCTGCTTAATATTTAGATTGTGTCTCCATGTTTCAACTGAGCAGAAATGTAACATTGCTCCTCTCGATATTTGCGGGTGACATAAAATATCTCCCAAGTGAAATGTTTTTTTCAAGTACGGATACCTTTGGATTTAATTAACAGCAAATTGTTTCTAATTTGATACATTCTGATGAGGTCATCAAGTACACTCTGTTGTTCGTTGTGCATCTGAGTACACTGAGATGCACAGATCTCAGATAATTTGACCAAGGAAATATAATTAGCACAGTCATTTACAGTATAAACAGAAATAGGAATGAATCTCTTATTTAGTCTGAGTGATTCAGTTATGGGGAATGATAAATGTGTTGTACTCTCTTTGGGAGACTTAAGGCAGGTTGATGACATATGTGCACATACACATTCAGCACTTGCTCGACCCTCCTTTTATTTCTCACTTGTGATGTTTGTTGACACTGGGCTGAGTAAGTTAAATAAGTCTACAGAGTAGGAATTGTTACAAAGTGTCACAGTGTGGCACAGAACCAGAGTTGAGCCTGATACTTTTTGGAGTGTTACCACAGTGCTGTGAAATGTGTCCCCAAGCCACAGAATGTAGGCTTCCCACAGAGTAGAGAGCTCACCGAAAGCAGAAATGAATTAATTGAATAGACTTTGTGTTCAATGCTTACTATTCCTGTTATAACTTAAGAAATAACCATTTGCACATTAGGGGAATAAATAAATACAAGCCCCAAATACTAATTTGCTCTTCTCTATGGAGGGTATAATTTGACACTCAGTCTTGTACATCATATATGCTAGGCAGAACTTTTCAACATTATTATATCATCAACCATAAGCTCTGTGACATTCAGGTGACATTAATGTGGAAAGAATGCATGAATGTCATTAGCAACTCTTCCTATTAATATGGTGAGTTGAGTAAGATTTATGTTGCTTTTATTTAGAAACACACGGTGTTATTCTATTTTGACTCAAGGGTGTTAACATTTTTACTGTTAGCATTAATTTGTTTTCTTTTAATTATACAATTACTACATTCATTTTCCTTAGTAAAATGGAAAAATAGCTCAATTGCCAGATGTTGATGATATGTTCTTAGGGTCTTAATGTCTGGTCTCATTAGGTTTCTGGTTTTGGCTTATAAAAGTTTATGGACTCAATACTTGTTTATGTTGGGAGAATTTCACTGGCACATTTTAAAGATACGGTTACCATTTTCCATAGATGATTTCTGCCAATATTTGTCCTTCGTTATCATCACAACAGACGTCTTCAATGTGTGACTTTTTGCATTTTGATAGGTTTAGCCTATTCTTCCAAAAGCATTAATCAAATATCTGCTGCATGTTTTTTCAAAAAATATTTTTTGTTCTTTATCTTTGAAAGGCTAAGTTTACCTAGAGAAAGTCTGTGAATCAATAAGATTTGGTTTATATTTTTTTTTAAATATTGACTTGAAATTTAATGCTAAGCATCTTCAAAAGGTAGTTTTGTCTTATGGTTTTTAATATTTAAGTAAATAAGAATAGCTGCTTGTGAAGCTAACAGTATTGTCCACAGGAAGACATATACTTCTCTTACTTAATACCATCTCATCTTTTTCATCACAGGAAATCTTATATTAAAATGTTATTACAAGCCTGTGATTCTCTTAGATTCTTTTCTGGTTGTCTAGGTCTCCCAGAGAAAAATGAGATGAAGAAAAACAGCTTTGAAAAGATATTTTTATTGATACATGCAGAAAATTAATAATTAGAAACCAAATATTTAAATTTCATACTTTCTACTGGCTTTCAAATAATTTTTTTCTGTGCTGGGTGCACAACTCTCTTGTTAGCGGGTACTAACCCATGGTGCAAGTAAGAAAGCGGAGATTCAGAGAAGTGAATGGCGAGTGCAGGTCCCTTACTGAGAGAATCAGAACTCAAGCCAGGGGGCTCCGACTGCAACCCTCACCATGTCAGGGCACTGTCCTTCCTGTGGTTCCATACTACAAGAAAAGTGAAATGAATAAAGAATGTTAAGTTAAGATTAATGTTAAGATTGCATGGACTGAGCGATGGTGGTGCACACCTTTGATCCCAGCTCTCAGGAGGCAGAGGCAGGCAGATCTCCATGAGTTCGAGGCCAGCCTGGTCCATAGCATGAGTTCCAGGACAGCTATGGTGGTTACACAGAGAAACCCTGTCTGGAGAAACTAAAAAATATATAAATAATAAAATAAAATAAAAAATTTAAATGCAAGGTATGTGAACATTTCTTTTTCCTTGTGACTTGAATTAAAAATATTTAAATCTTAGATTCTCAAATTTTTCTACTTAAAGTTTTGTTCTGTTTATTGAAGTGGACAGGGAGACATAACCTTCAGATTACTCATGTTGGAAACAATAGGCAGATGAAAATATATTTTGTTCTGTCAATCTTTTGTTTTTTCCTAGCTGCAGATGTTTTTTGAAACATTCCTGAGGACAAGTTCACCCCTGCAGGCACTGGATAGCATGAAAGAAGCAATTAGCAAGCTCCTGCTGGTGGCTGAGGTGTTCAGTAAAGCATCTACTCTGGGACCAAAGACCATCCATAGGTGAGAGAGAGACAGAACAGACATACACACACACACACACACACACACACACACACACACACACACACAGAGAGAGAGAGAGAGAGAGAGAGATTCTAAAATTTACTAGTGAAAAAACTTAGTCGCCGGAAGTAAATAGAACATGGAAATGTTTTTGTCAGTACGTGATAATATGATCTTCTAAACATGTATGGCCTAATTTATAAATTCTAAAACTTCAGAGTTCCTTACATGCCATTTGTTTGTATTCAAATGGTGTGACAAGAAATAGAACACAGGGTTTTAACTATTTATTGTTATTACTATTATTGCTACTACTATGATCTTTTCAGCAGTCTTACTGTGCAGCCTAGACTAGCCTGGAACTTATCATCCTCCTGCCTCTACTTCCTAGTGCTGGGACTACAAGCCTGTTCTTGGATCCTAAAGATAATTTTGAATTTGTAGCTTCCTTTCAAGTATTTTCATCAAATATACTAAGTATTGACCATGTATAGCTTTACCTGTACATAATACATTTATTCTAAAATTTCCCAATGACTTCAAAACACTGAAATAGGAAAAACTTTTAACAAAATTCTGTCACCTCTACTCTCCTAGCTCAGCTTGACAACAGCTTGTTGCCTTTGTTCTAGGATAATTGGTCAAGTTTGCCAAAAAACGGGAGAGGTGCTCGGTGATTTGAGCTCATTCTTATACCTTCTGCATGCATTAGTGTTAAGAATAGAGGACCTGGACATTTCTCCCCATATTAAGGTTCTCATGGAATAACATCATTGGTTACTGTGGTGTGCCATGGAGAATAGAGGCATTTTTGAACTTTCTCTAATGAACAAAAGAGACTCAAGTCCAACACTCCGTTTCATGTAATTTTCTATTATCCATGCCATTGGCCTTTAAATTATGGAAATTTAATTGTATCAATTATAAATAACGTAATACCAGATAGCAGAGTGAGTGTAGCAAAAAGAATATGTTGTCCTGTTACTTTGTGTTTTTCCTTCCAGATGTAGACAGTGTTTTCAGCTTTTAACTTTTGATATTGGTTATGGAGATTTGGGAAATCCTGTAGTGCTCCAGGTGAGTATGTAGGATGAAGCATGTGTATTTAGGGTGGGGGTAGGGTGTGTATTTTCATTCACGGTTACCAGTTGATTAGTAACACCTTCCATTACAGTCCTTCCAGGCTAATATGCCCGTGGCTCCTAGGGAATTAGTGAATTCTAATCACCACGAGACATACTAGGACAAACATGGAGTTTTCCATAGTTCCCCTGAATTCATGAACAAAGACATTAATTAGTCAAGTATATGTTCATGGGAAAAAGCAGGACGCAGGGCATATCGATAACAGCAAACAGGAGATGACCTGGGGGACTCTCATGGCATCATGAAGAGATAGTTCTGTCGTTCTTTTTCAATTGGTCATTTAAAAAGCCATAGGAACAAGAGAGACTGACCACTGGAAGAATTCTTGCCTGGAATGCACTAGGCCCTAGGCTAGTAATACAAATAAACACATTGTTTTTCTATTTTAATTTAAAAGCATAAAATGTCATGTGAATTTTTGAAATGTTTTCTGATATGTATATGTAAATGTGGGTGGTTTTTAGTTTGTTTTGAGTTAAAACTCTTTTAGATCACTTTCCTCAGCATAGTTTTTTATCTAAAATATTCTTCAATGGTTAGAAGACAAAAACAGTGGTTCAGCTATTTTATAAAAAGCTGTCTATTGCGCTCTAGGGTAGGAAGGAAAGGGGAACAGACTTATGGGTAATCAGAGTTCAACTCCACTGGAGTTTAGTTTTTTTTTCTAAACTATGATATAGAGAATACAATTACAGAAATATTGCATGTTTAAGATTTATCTATAAAATTTAGAACCTTTATGAAATTTTTAATGGCCATTTGCCTTTTTGATGCCTAATAGCTGAAATTAAACTTTTAAAAATTTGTAGTTTTGAAAAAATGTTATGTATTATCTTTCATGAACAAATATTTGTGAGATATAAAGAGTTTCAAGATAAGCTAATGCGACTTTGAAATAGTTCATGCTCCTCTACATTGAAAGAATGGCATCTTCCTAAGAAGCATTACACGTTTATGAAACTGTTAGCCTCTGGAAGACCACTAGATGTCAGCTCTGGTCTACAATCTAACCTGAAATAAATCATGCCTTAGAATTCATTTCCCTGTAAGGTCTCCTCTACTTCTCTTCCTTCAAAGGTACATGAGCATTTGAAATTTCAAGATGATGAGAAGTTCAATTTGGAGGACCAAAATACAGAAAAAATCCTCTTAAAGGATACTTTCAACTTCCTCTTCTCCAACACATCTTCCCTTTCTGTATTTTCTGAGATAGTGCAGAAGCTTTACAGAGCCAGCGTATTTGAGGTGAGTTCATACGTGTATATGGACAGTGGTTTCTCAGCCACTAGTTATTTTTATTGTGCAATTTAAAATGTTAATACTTTATTTGAAATTAATTAATAATTGTTGTCGATTATCTTGTGCTTCTATATTCTGACTTGAGGACCACCATCATTTTATATTGACTAAGTATGCGTGTGAAGGATTGTGATGAGAATGAAGTGAAAAAGTTCCTAATTATTAAGAAACAGATGTAGATATTTTCAATGATACATGTGTTTATGTACTTTAGAACTTTACAAAGAGTCTTTGAAGGTAGTCTAGAATTACAGAGTACTCCAGGATGACTTCAGGGAAACTGAATTAAAACATTAATTTGCTTGAATATTCGTGTCCGTTAACATTTGGCTAGAGGCTCGCAATCAGGGTGGAGTGCTTCAGAATGGTGCTGGGTTGGTTGTTTCTATTGTTTGCATGTATTGTTTGTTTTTTATGGCAGGCGAGCACAGTGTTCTTATACACTAAAAAATCAGTGCCAGTTACCATAATATTATTCCCCAAATGTCTTTCTATTTTGAAACTCATATTTGATGAATTTGGAGGAGTATGTAAAAGATTTCACAAAGGCTCTAATGGTGTCTGTCACACACACCTTGTCAGAGCATCACTCTTGATCTCAGAGATGCTCTAGGACACAAATGAATGTGGAAAAACCTGGAGTGGTAAGTGGCCGGCCTGTGAAACTCTCCAATGGCAGAATTCCACAGTGGGGTTCGTGTCCAGATACTCTTTCATTTTTTTCACCTCTATTGCTCTGAGGGCCCAAGGAGAATCTTGCATTCCCAAACCATGGTCACACACATCCTCCTCTCTTGTGCTCATCTCCCTGGCCTCACTACCAAGGTACCACTGGGTGAGTGAAGACAGCCAATCTTGTCAACTATGAAACTTTTTTTGTGTTTGGATGTTATTGAGACAACATATCATCTCTATGAATTCTACAGCTTTAATAAGTTTAGCTGTTATAGAGTTTGATTGATTTGTTAGGTGGGGGTTACTAGGGGAAAGATGGCTTGACTGTTTCATGATTACTTAAGGCTTTTTTCCTTTCTAGGATGGAAACTATCACAAGGAGTTAAATAAGTGCCTGTCTTTAGAGGAAATTCACTCAATTAGGACCTTTGTAAAGGAACTTGGGAGTCTGGGAGAATTCCAACTGGTAAAACAAAAGTGATATTTCTTTCCACTTAGTGACTGAGATTGTAACATTAAGAAATTAGCTATAAGTTGCCTGACTTTTCCTTCAAGTAACACACAGCCATTTCTTTACAACACAGACTGTTTTGTAGGCTTTTGTCCTTTTGAGAAGATGCATAGGCTTTGCTATGAGCATTTGCTAATAATATGTGACTTAACAGAGGTAAAGGATATGACATCATAGTAGCTGCTAGGGTGGGACAGTTCTCTAGGGAAGATGTTGATTTTTTTTAAAGAAATTTCTCTTTTAGTTTTGAGGCCTGAACATGTAACCAATATTTATTACTTTTTATTATTCTTTTGATTTGAGAAAAATTAAATATATTTGAATATAATAAAACCTTTAAAAACAGCCTAAATCTTTTTTTTAATTTATTAATCTCTCATACATTACATCCCACCCACAGTTTCCCCTCCCTCCACTCTTCCCAGTCCCCCACACACACTCCCCCATCTTAATTGATGGTAGCAATATTGCAAGTATGTGTATGTGAATGCTCTTAGCAGCTCTTACTGGTTTCAGGTTGCAAAGGGGCATTTTTTTTCCTCCCTGGAATTTTTGGTGTCTTTATCAGTTTATTGGCCAATATCAAAGCATAATTGATTATATATGAGTGTTTGTGCCCAATGTATTTTATTTCTGCCACTAATATAGACTATGATGAGTTTATATTTTTACTTAATGTTTGTTCATATAAAACTATTTTAAAATGGTATTTAAAACTAATTGATGAGTTATTAATCTGATACAAGGCTGAAATATTCCTTGTCGGTTTTTTTCAACCTATATATATATAAGTTACTTATATGAGTTATAACCAGTTCACCAAGTTAACCAATGAATGACTGAAACTTTTTGATACAATTTAGCCCCATATTACACAGGACTGAAAGCAAGCTTAGGACTCCAGCGTAATTTAATCAGCATATTTATCATTTTAATTGGTTTGCATGTAATAAATGACAGTTTATCTCAACGTTTTAGGAACCACTTGCCTGTCAGGAATTCGTCACTCAAAACGCTGTGAATGTAGACAGCCTCTGTTGGGATGAGAGAGGAAAGAAACAAGGGCCACCTTCAATTTCCTGCCTCTCAGAGTAGAAACAAGATAACCAATTTCCTCTTTTTTGTGAGATTAATAGTTCTCACCATGGCATAATTCACTTGCAGGGCAAAAGGACTTCTCTTCCCCCCGGCCTTTCTTCCTCTGTTACCTCGCTCCCCGTAGGTTGGAAGGAAAGATCTCTGTATACTCATTGAGGAAGGGGAAAATGACTCCATTCATAAATATGATCATCAGTAACTTTCATAATGTCTTAAAAAGCAACATTTGCCTTGAAAACAGTACCAACTATTAAAGTTAAATAAATCTATACTGACCAGTAGATTGTGTTTGTTTGTACCTATGTGTGTGTACATACAAGAACACGTGTACAGAAATATGTGTGGTGGTCCACAGACAACCTTAGCTGTCATTCTCCATGTGGCATCTGCCTTGTTTTCTGAGACACTCTCTATTGGCCCAGGACTCACCAAGTAGCCTGGGCTGGCCAGTCAATGAGCCCAGGGGATTTATCCATCTCTGCCTCCCATGCTGGATTCTGTAGGAGTTCATGCTTGGCTTTTCTGGGCATGAGACTCAGGTCCTCACACTTTCATTGAACTGAGTTATCCTCCCAATATTTAAAAACGTTGAGTTTTTAAATAAATAACTGCTCAACAAAACAATATCTGACTAAATATAAAATAGTATTCATAATACTACATTTCAACTTACTTTCAAACTTTCAACTAATTGTTTTTCTTCTGCTAATGTTTTCTTTGAACATTTCTTCTCAGCTCTTCCCATCTACTCTTCCTGGGATTCAATCTGTGATGCGTGAATTTTATGATATGTCAACTCTTGGCTCCGTCATGTCCCAATACTGGTCTCTTTTAAATGTATTTGAACAATTTTGGCCCATGAATAAAAAGGAACAGCTACATCCACTGGAATGGTAAGAGAGCCACAAATTTGAATTGTGCAGTCCAAAAATTCTTAAGCTGAAAAGATTGATTTCAAAAGGCTTGCCTACATTAAAGTGAACAACACAAAAGAAGTATGCCCAAAAATTCATGGTCTGGAAAATAAATGACTTTAAAACATTGAAACCATAATGGTTCTGATGATCATCAGATGCAGTAACAAAAAATACATCCAACCATTTTCAAACTAAGATACGACTCCATTATAAAGTAATGTTTAAAATTAAGCATTTCTGTCTCCTTTCATTTTGTGATTCATACCTTTTCATTAGTGAAGCATCTAGAAGATTCGATGGGGTTTGTGTTATGAACCATCCATCAACTTGGAGATAGATACATCAGGCATATTATTGGGGGGCAGGTTATAGAGGCATGACTTTATTCTGAGCAAAACTCAGCTAATTTTATAAATCTATACTCTACTGTGTTTGTTTTGCTTTTAGAGAGTGTTTTGCCATCCACTTCCACTCTTAGGAGAGGTTGAAGGAGCAGGCAGGTGAGGTATTAATGCCTCTGGTAGCTGGCAAAGGGGAGGCACTTAAAGTTTTGTCTGTTCTTTAATATGGATAGAATTAAGAGAGCATTTGACTTTTCTACTGCCAGGAAAACAGAATTAGACCTAAGCCTCCCAGGGAGATGAAAGAGCAAGGGACATGACATTCATTTATGTCTTCCACAGTCACTGTTGGGAATAGCTCTGTTCACTTGTCCTTCAGTTCCTTTGGCTTCAGGAGATAGTGACTCTAAGAAACTCATTTGTAATTAAAAATACAAATAACCATACATCCGAGTACATCTTAGAACATCTCCTAGCATTAACATTCACTTTAATTGCAAAATCTTTATAAGCTTGGCTTTATTCCCTCAGTAAGTCCAAATGAAGTTTTCCCTTATGTGCTTGAAAACTGTTTTAAATGCTACAGCATAAAGCCACTTTTTATCCTTTGCTCTCACTCAACTAATCCAAGACTACCCCATACATCAGTATAGATAGGCAAAGAACAGACGAGATTTCCCAAGGAGCTTATTTGTATTGTTTGTAACGTTCGGTGAGTTCCCAAGAGATTTGTAAGCTTTAGACTATTTGTTCCCTGGCAGAGTTTTCTCCAGCTCCTCATATATGACCAGGTTCAGCAATCCACTAGTTAAAATCGGAAGACTGGGTACTCTTGCCTTAAATGAATGCAAGATTGGTCTCCATTGAATAGAATTATAAAGGACGGGAACTATTCTGAATCATGCAAAGGTGGATAAAAAATCCCAACATTAAACTTTATTAGTTATAGCACGCAAAGTTCTAAGCCCTCTAAGACTTAATTTCTTTACCTGTAAATATGGCATAGGTTGTCTACCACTTATTAAAATTCTAGGAGGATTACATGAGAAAGTTTTGTGTATGTCACACTATAGTGCAAATAGGTGATAAAGGGCAGTTTATCTTTCCTTTCAAGTTCTATGGAACTCGAAGGTCATCTTAGTATCTGTGGTGAGGGTAGCACTTTCTTTCCTTTCTATAAGGAAAGCCATTCATGTTCAAAAAACTTTTTAGTGTTAATACTGACAGAAATAAATTTTTGTATCTATCAAAAGTCAAATGACATAATGCTCCCAGAAGTGTTTTTTTAAGTATTCAATTCACATTATCTTCCACTTTACCAGTGAGTGTGTATATTTCGTGATCATTTATGCTTTATTGCAAGAAGGATCATATCTCTTGCACATTTCCCAGATGAAGGAAAAGAAGATTCTAAGACAAATCAGTAGCTTAAGACTTTCGGCTACTCTGGATACGGAAGACGGTTGTTTAGCTCGAACTGTTTGAGGGCCACCCAGGCAGGGGGATCGGGATCTGTCCCTGATCTATGGGCAGGCTTCTGGGAATCCAATGCCTGTGGTGTGTGATGCCTTGCACAGCCTTGGTGCAGTGGGAAGGAGCTTGGACCTGCCTAGGCTCAGTGTGCTGGGCTCTGCTGACTCCCCATGGGAGACCTTGATTTGGGGGATGTGGGGATGTGGTGTGGCTTGGGAAAGAGGGGTGGGGGTGGGAGGATGGAGGAGGGAGAATCTGTGAATAGTATGTGTAGTGAGTAGAAAATTTCTTAATAAAGAAAAATGGAAAAAAAAGAAAACGAGTCAGAGAACCATTGTTAAAGTGTCAGAAATAAATAATTTTATGTTTGTCAAAAAAAAAAAAAAAGAGTTCGGCTAATACAAATATTGACCTACTGACTGTCTCACCAATGTCTCTGCACGTTTATCCAGGATACTATAGAGGCAGGGAGGCCACCAAGTTTTCTTCTTCAAAATGGCCACAGCAAGGTGGTTTTGTATACATGTACACTTGGGATCTAATGATTTCATCTTTCCTTTGAAATGAAGGTCATTTGCTTGTAGCATGGTAACAGGTTAAGAGAAGATAAAAGCCAGCGTGTCAGCAGTGATAGGTAACATTTATGTGTGAGCTCCAAGGCTCAGAATCCAGACACCCCAATCTAAGTGGTGTGAAAACCCTACAACCGTCTGTTAATTTTCACTTTCCTGGAAAGGAAGTGGTATATGTGCCTTACTTTGTGCAAATGTTTTCTTAGAAAATGCACACCAATTTAAAAATAATTTAGTCACAAAAATATCCAAGAAATAACTGCATGATGCTCTCGTATACAAGTGTTCACTCCATTAAGACAATCATGCTTCCATAATTCAGTTCATATGAATTTCAGGGCTGTATCTTTTGAGCGACTCTCCTGGAAGTTCTTGTTCATGAGAAATTCTTAGATTTTTTTTTTTAATTTGGACTTCAGCTAAACTTATCTCATTAGTAGAGTGATCACCACTGTGCAGGAAGTCCTGGATTGAATCCCCAACATGACAAACATAAAAATAAACAACAAATAATCTCACCACCATCAAAAACTTCCTATCTTTTATAAAGCATGATTTACCTCTTATTCCATTCCTTGAAAGGAACCACTACATTTTTGCCTCCAGTTTTTTTTTTTTTTTTTTTTTTTTTTTTTTTTGTGTGTGTGTGTGTGTGTGTGTGTGTGCATACCCAAAGAAAGCTGACTTTTAGAAGTAAAATTATCCTAACTTTCAGCATTGGCAATGATAGAAATGCTAATCAGCAATTAGCAAACTGTTTAATGCGTAGGTTCTTTTAGACATTCTGCCTGATGATGATGATGATGATGATGATGATGATGACAATGATACTTTCACGGGCCTGAAGATGCCTTCCTGACCTTTGTGCTGCATTACTCAGCACAGTGTCTGGCACTGGCATTTTTATTTGATTTTCACAGTGTCCCTCTGTAGAGCAAATACTGTCATCCCCATTTTAAGGCAGCACCACATCGTATCAACACAGGAAAGTCATGTCAGGACCACAGTGACCTGTGTTCTCCATTATCCAGACCTGACTGCAGTTTAGGTTGTTTTAGGCCCAGTTCGAAGGACTTAAATGGTTACTTGTACAACCTAGAAAACGAAGCCACCATGCCAAGATGTAAGCAACCTTGGCCGTTCTCTGTTGGTTATCGGGAAGTGTAAGGACACATGCTTTGGCAATGTCGATTGTTTCGTATACCATGTTGGTTTCTCCAATTTTGTGTACATTCTCAGGCTGTGTCTCAAGACGCCCAAGGCTCTTGGCATCAAAGCTGTGGATTGTTAGGCAGTGAGAATGTGCGTTTTAAAACCATCTCTGTTGGATCTAGGCTATCTGAGGTTGCTCAGCTTCCAACTAGAGAGTGACTGTTTTTGTTGTTGTTTGTTTTGTTTCGTTTATACTAGTTTTTTTTCAACTATAGACACTAATGCTATCTATCAGCTTGGAGAACTGAAATCCAGACAGTGTTTCTTGTCTTCACCGAAATAACTGTGCCCACCTGGGACAAAAGACCGTGTGTTCGCCTTGTTGATTTGGACTTGCTTGGCATTGTATTTACAGGAATTCTTCCAAAAGAAATGAGACCATTCAGAAACCACAAGAATCGTCAGAAGCAATCAAAAGGAAAAAAGGTAAAAAGCACATAGTCCCACATAGTATAGTATAAAGAAAATTACTATCTGGCTTCAAAATATATTTAAAATGTTTAACTTTGTTAGCAATCAAAAATGAAAATTAAGCAAGAAAGTGATACTTTCTCCTCAAAATTAGATGTTCTTCTTCTTCTTCTTTTTTTTTTTTTTTTGGTTTTTCGAGACAGGGTTTCTCTGTGTAGCTTTGCGCCTTTCCTGGAACTCACTTGGTAGCCCAGGCTGGCCTCGAACTCACAGAGATCCGCCTGCCTCTGCCTCCCGAGTGCTGGGATTAAAGGCATGCGCCACCACCGCCAGGCTAGATGTTCTTCTTAAAGATAGGGAAGGAGTGAGGGGAAATGAGTATTCTCATTCTGATGGTAAGCGTTTGAACTAGAGTACATGTTAAGGGGCTACTTGATAGCATAGAAAGTAAGCTTTAAAAGTTACTCTTGGGGCCTTAGCACACACGTGCTTGATATGCTGAGGCTCTAGGCTTAATCCTTAGTGCACAAAAATAGATTATCTAGTTAAATAAAATTCACCCTTATAGACTAGAAATTCTACTGCTATTTTTAAGAAAATAATTAAGAATATTGTGAACATTTAAAAATTTAAGCATTTTAATAAACAGTAATGTAGCCTCTGAAAAAAGTTTAGTACCTATTTATAATACAGTTTTCAGCAAATTATAAAAATAAATAAACAAGTAATAGATGAAAACATGAGAATCCACCATTATTGCTGTAAGAGTAGACGGAAAGCATCTGTGAACCTATAGTCCTGAAATAAAATTCTATAAATAGCTAGAAAAAAACCTTTGCCATGAAAGATGTTCAGGCTGTGTGGTTGAATGTAACAGCTGCCCTACTGGCAGGAGGACCCTCAAGAAGCTGGGTGGTGATCTTTATTCCCCTGACTTTACCTCTTTTTCTTCATAGTCTCATTTTTAAGGAATATTTAATGTTTTGACATACAAGAAGATAATATTTCAAGAAGAAAAAATGCAAGAAATAATCATCAGTATATCTAGCTATTCCTTTTAACTGAAGAAAGGCTGTTACAACCAGGATTTAGTTCAATACTGTGTTTCTCAGTGATGCTGCACTGAATCTTCTAACCAGCACTGTGGTTTAAGGCCCAACAGTGAGTTTGAAGGACGATAGTTTGAGAACCGCAGATTCAACAAAACGAATCAGTAGGCCTAGAAATAAATGGATGATGATTAAGCATGGACTGCTCTCTTCTGCCACCACTTTTTTTCTTTTTTAATGAATATTTTAAAGCAATCTACATATTTTATGCATTCATTTGTCCATAAATATTTATTAGAATTTTTTTCAGTTGGATGTTTAGTTATCCAGAAACTTGGAACATACAGAGTAACCAACTGGTTAGAATATCTTCATTCCAACAATTTAGGAAACTATAGCATAGGATCCCAGAACTAGAAGAGATGTAATAGTTTACTTAGGATAAAGATGACATCCAGACCACTCATTTGTTCCTCCAACGTTCTGCCACTAGAAGTCATCACTTGTTAGAGCTTTGAATCCGACAGTGGAATGTTTGCCAGCTTTGCTTAGAGATGCTCACTGGTGAGGAGTCGAGAGACAGCTCAGTGAAGTGCTTGCTTTGTATATGAGTGTGTGCTTCCCATTCCTAGCACTATACGGAACTCTGGTGTGATGGTGTGAGTCTCCAGCACGTGGAAGTAGGGGATAGAGACAGGCAGACCCTTGGGTCTTACTGATTGGCTAGTCTAGCTCATCAGTAAGCTCCAGATTCAGAGCAAAAGACAAAGAGAGGGAGGAGAGAAGAGACAGAGAGAGAAAGGGGAGAAAGAGAGGGAGGGAGAGGATTTTTACATTAAATTCACAGTTTTGTTTTTAAATTTAATTTTTTTTATTTTAGATGCAGTTCCACGAGTTTTGTATGAAAATAAAGATATACATTGCAGTAATGGTGAGTTGAGATTGAAGTGTTCCCATAGTACAGCCCATAGTTAGACACAACCCAACTTTGAAAAAATAGAAACATTTTTATCATATTCAGATGCCTTTAGGCTGCTAAAGTAGATTTTTGAGAAGTTTTATTTCTGGTTAAGTTAATATCTGTCACTTCTGCATGAATAAAACATTTCATTTTTAGATACTCTGATTTATAGTTTAAAATATTATACTTATATATGTTATTTTAGGTCAGTGACTTCCAGATTCATTTTTAGGGGCCCAAGGAATCTTAAGGCTTTACATTAGAAATAGAATTTGGCTTATACATCCTCTTTAGAAATCTCACCATTCTGAAGTAATTTGTTTTCCTCCTAGGCTATTGCTATAATGGAGAGAACTGAGTAGAATTCTCTTCATAACAGCTGAGAATTTCAAACTCAATTTTCAGTTTATCTTCTTAAAATATCATGAATTTTAATTCTACATAATAAAATATATATGCAATTTGAGTTTATGTAAAATCTAAATTAAAAATCACTTTGTTCATCTGGTTTAATATAGTAACAGTGGTCTTCTAAACACATCTTTTGAGTAAGTCCAGTTGACTTTCAAGGTCACAGGGGTATTAAATGATTGAGGTGGGTTATGACCTTCAGATTGGTCCTAAGCTCCTGAAGTTCTTTTCTTTTAAAAAATTATTATCATTTGTTTTACATGTATTGTGTTTTGCCTGCATGTATGTCTGTGCATCCCATGAGTGATGGGGCTTGAGGAGACCAGAAGAGGGGGTTGGATCCCCCCCTTTTTTTTATAACTCCTGGAACTGAAGTTTAAAATGTGACCATGTGGCACTAGGAATTGAATCTAGGTCCTCTGGGAAAGCGGCGGGTGTGGTACTCTTAACCACTAAGCCAAGTCTCTTACCTCCGGAATTTTCTTAATATCATATATCATGCAAAGAATTAAGAAATTTCCATTGTAGGCTTATTTTTTACAGTGTATACCTCCAAATAATTTGCACCTACCAATCTACTTACACTTTTCGCTAAAATGTGCTTTTAGAAAATTTGTCTTCTGGGCAGTGGTGGCTCATGCCTTTAATCACACACTCAGAGGCAAAGGCAGGCAGATGTTTGAGCTCTAGGCCAGCCTGTTCTACAGAGTAAGTTCCAAGGCAGCCAGAACTACACAGAGAAACCCTGTCCAGAGAGAGAGAGAGAGGAAGGAAGGGAGGGAGGGAGGGAGGGAAGGGAGGGAGGGAGGGAGGAAGGAAGGAAGGAAGGAAGGAGAGGACCTGTCTTCCAAAATAAATTCCTCTAACACACAAAAATTGAAAAATGGAATGTATAAACTTAGGCTTAATTTATTATAAACAAAAGTCTTACAATTTAATATAATCTAACTTGTTTGCCTTCTAAATACTGTTGTTTATTCATCCTTTTCTAATAATCACATCAAGCATGATGCTAGATTGCGTAGTATTAGCCTTTATGAAGTCAACAGTGCATTCAGTTAAAGACAGAAAGCTTTTCGAGCATTGCTGTACTTACCAGGCAAAAGAGAGTTGGTGCAACTCCACCCCCCACCCCCCACCCCCGGGGTCACCAGTCCCTCACACCTACAAGACCTGGTTCTGGTTCTCCTTTCTCCTGGCTCACTGCTGCTCTGGGTATGGTTTTAAAAAGAAAAAGCTCAGTGGGAAAACTAGGAGATTTGCAATAGTAATCGTTCTTGAGATTCTATCCTGGGCTAGGCTCAGGGCTAACCACAACGTGGAAAAGCCATGTCATCTGTTTGGGGTTCTGTATTCTGCACTGGATGAACTCATGGCTATCGGTTCCCAGGTGATGTGATGTGATGTAGATGAGGGGCATGTTGTCAGGAAATCTCTTCAACTCGGTTCTTGTCGGTTTTTTTTTTTTTTCCACTGATTAAAAATTCATCCTACCTGGATCTTTACAATTAATCTCCCTGCATTTATGGTTTGATATAAGACTTAAAAATATGCTGGGTGATGCTCCTGCTCAGGTGGGGTTATCTTTAAAAGAATAAGCTTTTCCTGTGTTCAATATGAATTATGACGATCCATCAAGAGAGCAGTAAAATCCTATGGTTAAAAGAAAATCCGTTAAAAACCACCAAAACTTCAAACAGCTTTCCCATGATGCTTGCCAAACAGGGTAAGCACCCTGCCACCACCATCCCTCCTGCTGGGTTCTCCGTAGATCTAAGGTAAGCAGGCCCGAGACGTGTCAGGACTGGACTGGGAAAGATGCCAAGGACACACCAGGTGTTTACAGGCAGGAGCCTTAATTCAGTTGCAATGATGTCAGAGCTAAATTAGCTTTCAAGTAAGGGTCCAGGACATAGCACCCAACCCAGAAGTGGAAAGTTCAGTGGTGGTGGTGGTGGTGGTGGTGGTGTCTTGCTAAAATCTTGCTTAAGAAAGAAATTGCACATTTATTTAACTTCTTGTGGAGGTGAGGTTCAATTTATAAGAAGTACAAGCCCCCTTTGAAAACTGTGACTACGCTGTGAAATATAAAAAGAACTGTAAATAGTATAAACCGAAAGGAAATTAATTCTCACTGAATTGTTATAAAACTATATTCTTAGTTAATAGAAGTGGCGCATGCTTGTAATCCCAGTGCTGGGAGGCCAAAGCCGGAAGATCATAAGTTCAAGGCCACAGTGGGCTATATGGGAAAACCATGTGTCAAAAAGAAATAAATGAAGTATATAAAAAGAAAAAGAAAGCCTATTAAGTCAAAATACATCTTCTATGATTCATGTTGATAAAACAATCTGCTTCTTTATTATTCATTCAAGTGGTTCTGAGCACAAAAGTCTATTTATACTCCCTCCGTGCCTGGGCAGCTCAGGCTTCCCTAAAGAGTACAGATCACTGCTCTAGTTTGTTTAGTGTTATGCGTTATGCTGGGGTCAGAGTGTTCATTTGGATCAAATCCCATGACTGCTAACCTCCTGTTTTCACTATGCTTCTCTCTATGCTTTGAACAGAGGCTTGTGGATGGGGTGGGTGGGACTCTGATTTTAAAAATTAACACATTATTAAGAAACTGTTGAATTTGAATTAAAAGCAATCATTATTTTCAGCATGAGTTATAATACCCTATACTTATATTCTTATGAATCATATTGAGATTGATTATTAAAATTATAGTTGAAATCTACATATATATATATATATATATATATATATATATATATATATATATCAGCCAGATAAAAATCTTTGGTTGGCTTGTTCTTTTCAAATGTCAAGTAAAATTAAGCAGTTTACTCAAATCACTTTGAGATTCAACAAAATTGATTTGTTGGTTACTTTTCTGTAGAATGAAATGACACCACATTTATGATACTATCCTGTGACGAGTCTTTCTCTGTCCCGCCAGCCAAGCCAGCTCCCAAATAATGACATGGAGACTTATGTTAATTATGAAAGCTCAGACTATAGCTTATATAGTTAGACTTGTTCCTAACCAGCTCTTGTATCTTAAATTAACCCATATTTTAAATCTACATTCTACCACATGGCTTTTTACCTTCCTTTCATTTCGTACCTCTGACTTGTTCTGTGTCTCCTGTGCCTCAATTATCTCCTATTTCCTTTTTCTCTGTCCGGAAGCCCTGCCTATACCCCCTGCCTCGCTATTGACCATTCAGCTCTTTATTAAAACAATCACAGTAATATATCTTCACACAGTCTACACATATCCCACAACACTATTGTGCTCTTAATTTATACTTGATTAACTGTTTTCCTCCCACTGGCAGGGAAAACCACAGAATACGAGACAGAGCTGCATATATTAACTTTCATGTTTAGAAGCCGCAGGCAGCTTTGTGGAGGCCTGGTTCTCAGAGCTAGAGTGCCACAGCTGGATGATGGTTTTCTGTCCCCTCCTTGGGTGATGCTTCTCTGTTTCCCTCAAAGGCATATCAGAATTTTGGTGTTAGTGGAGTACAAAGTCCATCCAGGACATAATAGCAGAAGTAATGGATAGCAAAACAAGGGGGACTTGTGGAATGCATTTCCTCTTCTTTAGCTTAACTCTAGAAATGGTGAGAAACTACTACTATAAATTGTAAACAAACTGTCAGATTTGATTTTAGAGAAACCATTATGGGAGCTACAGAAAAGGAGAAGGGCAGCAGTGACCAGAACAATGTCTTTTTGCCGACTTCAGTTCCATACCTTCTGGCATTGAGCTGTTGTACCTTGGCTTGCTATGCTACGTAGGATTTTCCACTTTGCTGATTTCAGGAGCGTTTTTATACCTACATTTGCTGGAGTTTTGCTGACCATTGTAAAGAATAGATAAAATACTTGTAGATACTTCTTTGAAAACTATGTTGATAGGCTCCTGGGTCCTTGTCCATCCCAAATATTAATGTTAGGTCTAACTTAACAGTGGCCTCTCTGTGTGCACACCACTCAAGCTGTTTTTCTTTCTTGCACCAAGATAGTGTTTGCTGTAAAACGAGTTGCTGTAGTGGGAAATTTATAGTCAATGGCACGGAGTCATCGTAGGCTCGAGAACAGGTTTAAACAGATATGGCATTTCCTTCTATTACTTTCTGACACTTTCCCCTGATGAGGCGGCTTGGGAAGGGATTTCAGGATGCTTTGTGAATATTTTGAACTACGTGTTTGGTATGATACCAAAGTTCACATTCTTTGCTCTGCCTTACTACTCTTAGATCAACAGTTGGCAGTTTAATGACATTTTTCATTAAGAAAGTTTCCTGATTACCTGCTGGTTCCCTTCTGCCACTGTCCCATGGAGCCATTGTTCCATTTTCATAGTTAGTCAGGATGTCATATATCTCATGAGGACGTTATCAACCCACAGGAAAGACATTTCCCCCACCTTCTGTGCCCTAATCATTTCAAGGACTGAGGGAAAATATCGTGTGTATCACACCACCTACAGTGAACAGCTGGCCTGAGGGAGTGCCCTCATGTTTGATAAACTGGAACTCAAGTTGATGCCACAAGTCAATAGTGCCTAGGTGCCGAGTGGATAGCCACTGACTGCTGAAACTGTGCTTAGGAGTGGGAGGGGAGAACTCCTTAACCACATGCAGATTTAAATCTAGATGCAGTTCACAGTTGCCTTTGTCCTTCTTTCTGTCTTGGTAACAGAGGAAGACACACTCTGCCGTATCAAGATCTCCACCCATCCCCATTTGGAGCTAAATCCCGACTTTAATCCGAAGATCAAGGATTATTACTGTGAAGTGCCCTTTGATGTGCTAACAGTGAGGATTCGAGCAGAGACTTCGAAGTGCCAGTGCAAGGTGCACTTGCAAGAGCGGGCAGGACCGAGGTATGGGAAGCGTGCCGGCTGACTTAACTGCGCACCAGAAAGCAGGTGTCTGATCCCACCTTTGACGGTGGTTCAGAAAGCACGGTGCTGTGAAATCTTGCTCTTTCAGGCTTCACGTGCTTAGAAAACACACACAGGTTCTCTACCAATCTACAAAAAACAAACAAGCAAACAAAAACCTCGAGTTCATCTTTGTAATAATACTGTAACAAGAGAGGGCCTTGATATATAAAATACAAGGGGGAGCCATCAACAACTCCGCTTCATCTCATCGTCTTGTTTCCAGATTGTTGGAGCTGATGCTTAAAAATATCGATCCCCCCTTTACCCTAAGTCAATGTTTCCAGCCTGGTGAAAATCTGTGGGTGCAGTACTCCTGACTTTGCTCATCTTGCAGGGTTGATTTGTTTACTTTTTTCTTTATTTGTTGTTATTTTCTATAGCTGTTTTTAAAAGACTCCAACTCTTTTGTTCAAAAATTTGAACAGAACCGGAACCTCGTCACATATAGTGTCCATAAAGAGGAAGATACAAGTCAATGTCGTAGGGCAGAGGTTTTCAACCTGTGTGTGGGTCTCAACCCCCTTAGGGAATTGAATAACCCTTTCACCGGGGTCACCTAAGACCATTGGAAAACACAGATACTTACATTACAATTCACAGTAGCAAAGCCACAGTTGTGAAGTAGCAATGTAAATAATGTTTGGTTGGGGGTCTTCACAACATGAGGACCTGTATTAAAGTGTTGCAGCATTAGGAAGGTTGAAAACCACTACTTTGGGAAAGAATGTGCTTGGCATGATGACAGTCCAGTTCAGTGTAAAGAAAGGAGGATTTGAGCTCAGTAAAATAGTAACATTAATACCCCTTCATTAGTAGAGTGCTTGCCTCGCATACAGGAAACCTTGGGTTATATACTCAGTTGGAGTTTGAGACTATCTGTCAAAAAAAGGGTAGAAAGCAGGAAGAGGGAGGAAGGGAAGAAAGGAAAAAAGAAAAGAATGAAATAAGATAGAGAAAGGAAAAGAGGATTCATGTTACTCTGATTTGGGTTCTACCCTGACTCTACCATGTAACGAGGTAATTTGACTACCAGTTATTTTAAGACTCTCTATATTGCTGGGCATTTATGGTACACACCTTTAATCCCAGGCATGTCTCTTGGGAGGCAGAGGCAGGTGGATCTCTGAGTTTGAGGCCAGACTGGTATATAGAGTGAATTTCAGGATAGCCAGGGCTACACACAGAAACCTTGCCTCGAAAAACAAACAAACAAAAGAGAGTCTCTATGTTTATAATAAGGACCATTGGGTTTTGTATAGAGCTATTGTATTAGAAGTAATTCCCAACCCTGACAAGTGGTTAATAAATATTAGGTTTCTTTCCCTCTAGTCATGACTTGTCCTGAAAGATGATTCCTGGTAGAGCAAGGAAGAAGGAAAGGAAGATTTTTCATATTTCATTTTTCTTATGAAATTATGCAGTTCTTACATGTTTTAGGCAAGTAACAATCATCATCATCATCATCATAATCATAATCATAATATATACTGGTGTCTGAATCTGTTTGGCCTGAATAATTGTCTCCATCCATATTAAAACTCTTCCATCTCTCACACTCCATCTTCTTCCACTGTCTGCCCTCAGCTTTGCCAACTATCCTCTGGGATTAGGAATGAACAGAATTTCCATGTTCGTGGTGGATGAATCTCCAGCAGAGGGTGACACAGTAACCACATATAAACTCACCATCTATAGAGAAGACCGCCCAAGTCTGCCCTTCTTTGAGGATTTCACAGCATGCGGTTTTGTACAAGTGAGTTAACTGTGCGTTTACACTTGTGTTGAATTGGGAATGATTAGTTAATCCGGTGAGAAGTGCCAAGTGTCCTTGTTGCACACATTGCAGTATGGCGCTTCTCTAAGCCATGATAGCTGCAGCAGTCGGAGCCCAGGGCAGGTATCTGAAGCCCCACCTTCTGGGGTTTCTTTCCCGTGTGGTGGCCACACTCTGTGCTCACTGGGCTCAGGGGTTCATCATGGTTACTGGTTAACATTGTTGAGCAATGGCAGCTATGGATTTGGTTTTGCATAGCCCATTTAAACTTTCTTGTTTTTCTTGGATTTGTCCCTAGATCTCCTTTTGAAACTTTAAACTGGATCCAATGGAATTTATTGTAAAAAAAAAAAAAAAAAAAAAAAAAAAAAAAAAAAAATTAGAGGAAAACTTACGAAATGAAATTTGCTTGGCATAGATGTATTTCTCATTTATGTCTCAGACCTTAATCACTTCTCAAGGCTGTGGCTTCTCCTTTGAGAAACACATTCCATTTTGTAGCCTTACTGGTTAGGGAGGAGGGTTTCTATTACCCTCTGACTTTGTCTTTTTGTCAGCTTTTCCTTACAGTTTCTTTTCCTTAAAGGAGTATAGTACATACATAACCATCTACATCATCTCATACCATGCAAACAGATGATGACAGACAAGTAGGAGCTAGAACTCTGAGCATGTATTTCCTAATTCATTCAGAAAGTATAATCACAAATATACTCATACAATGTCAAAAGGATGTGCTCGTTATCAAGAGCTTTGCAGTAGAGAGCATCAAACAGGATGATGACCTTCCGGGCCTTCGTGGATGGAAAGAACCCCACAATTGTTCATTTATTCATTTAGCAGCCAGACACTACCGTCCTTCCCTTCTTACTCATCTGTTACCAAGAGCTCAATACCACTTCGTAAGGTTATTCATTTCATAGATTTTCTTCCTAAGGAAATGTAAATCTGAACCTCAGGAATTCTCATAAAATCATAGGGAATTCTACATTGTTGTAAAGAGTATTATAAAGCAAAGAAAACAATTGAAAGTTATCAATCCATTTTTGTAAATAAAAGGGAAACCAGGTGACTCTTCCGAAGCCCACATCTGTTTTAGTGCATATGGCACTGTCCTTCCCTGATACTCCCTGTCTCCTCTCTAATGCCTGCACTTACACATATGTAAAAACCTTTGTTATTTTTAATTTATTTCTTTCATTTAAATTTTATTTCATACAATATATTTTGGTCATGGTTTCCCCTTCCAATATTTTCTTTATTAACCCCAGTTTGTTCCATCAGAGAGAAGCCAGACATATAAAGACACATTGTGTCTGTTTAAAAGACATTTAAAAGCAGGTAAAATTAACATGATTATAGAGACCAAAACAGTTGTTATCTGGAAGCTATCAATGCCCATATTCATGAAGGGACTCTTTGAGGAAATGTCTTATATCTTAATCTGGGTGGTGGCTACTTATATGAACAAGTGATATATAGATATATGAAAACTATGCACTTAAAACTTATATAATTTTACTATATACTATCTGTGTAATATAGAAAATACATATGAAATAGTTGGGCAAGTTTTCATATAAATTTTAGTTCAGTAAAATAAGAAAAACAATGTGAGATGGGAAGTTTGTATGATTATTTTCCAAGACATATCTCACTTATCAAGTACCATATTGATCAGAAACAAGTTAATTACCATGCAATTGCCAAAGAGAATGGATTATACTTATTACTATAACATGAAGAAAAATATTAGAAAATTCTTGTGGGATGAATCTCACAGACGACTGCAGGAAACTATTTCAGTCATTTATGAATCCTTTCCAGGACTTCTTACTTGAAAGTCTATGTGTGGTCCTTCAGTAAGGACCACAGTTCTTACTTCAGTAAGTACTATATTTCATAACATGGAAAATGTTTAATAGTATTTTAATGTTTCATTTACAAAAATTCTTGAATGAGTGAGCAGAAAAGTGTGGCAAATAATGCAGCTTACTTTCTTTTTTTTTCATTTTTTTTATTAAGAAATTTTCTACTCACTCCACACACTATCCACAAACCCCATCTCCTCCCTCCTCCCATCCCCCAGCTTTCTTTCCCAAGCCAGATGGTTGTTTGGCAGCTTACTTTCAAGTCTTAGCTAGGCCTGAGCTGCCATGTGTCCTGCAGGAGGTCAGGGTCAGTCTCTGTCACAGAGGCTCCACCTCCAATTCTACCCAGAAGCCCTCTGTGCTGGTTAATTTTTTCACTGCTGTTACAAAAATGCATGACCAAAAGCAACTCAGAGAAGAGAGAGAGTTCACTCTGGCTTACAGTTTGAGGGTACACCAGCATGGCCCGGAAGGTATGGAGGCAGGAGCATGAGGTGGCTGGTCATGTTTCCTTTAGAGTCAGGAGCCAGTGATGAACGCTGGTGCTCAGCTTCTCCTTTAATATAATAATAAATATATATATATATATATATAGTTACAGATTTGTGTTTATTTTACACCTCGACCGCAGTTTCCCCTTCCTTTTCTCCTCCCATTTCCTCCTCTCCCTCCTCTCCCTCCCTACCCCCACCCCCACCTCCACCTCCCACCTGACCACCCCCCATTCACTCCTCCTCCCTCTCCATTCAGAAGTGGATAAGGCCTCCCATGGGTGTCAACAATGCATGGCACATCAAGTTGAGGCAGGACCAAGCTCCTCCCCCTGCATCAAGTCTGGGCGAGGTAATACTCAGCTTCTCCTTCTGTTCAGCTTGGAATGGTGCCACCCACATTTAAGATTTCTGTCTTCTCTTCCAAGTTAAACCTCTTTTGAAAAGCCCTCATAAACAATCCCAGGGGTACCACTTTGCAAATTAATCCAAACAATCCAGCAAAATTGACTATGAAGATTACTGCTTAGGGTCATAATCATCTTTAGGCTTCAGAGCTGATAAAATCACAAAGGTTCAGATGCGTAGAAAGTGAGAGGGATTGGTTCCTAATCACCAACTCTTAGGTTCTTAAGAATCTGACTTAAACTAATAACAAGGCAGATATATGTCACAAAACCTAAAATGTTTGCTCTTCCACCCACCCACCCACCCACCCCCTTTTCTGCTATTGTGTTGTTAGGATTAAAGTCCACAGCACATTATTTTCAAATTATCAGATAAACTGTTTAATATCAGTCCCCAAACTGATACATGCAAGCTTAAAAGGGAAAAAATTAAACATTGATCACATTTTATTTTTCAGTAAAAAGGGGAAATTTCAACTACTCCTTGCATTTCAAATTAGATTTTGGTTTATGGTCTCTATGGTTCAGTTTAAAATTAGTGTCTTAATCCATTCATGTTGCTATAACCAAACGCCTGTAGTTAGTAATTTATAAAGAATAGAAGTTTATTTCTCACAGTTCTGGAGGCTGAGAATCTCAAAATCACGCCTTTGGAACTCTGTCAAGGCCTCTGGATACCCCCACGGTAGTAGAGGGGAAAGGACACAGGCTGTGTTCCATGTGGGGAGGAGCCAAGGAGCAAGACAAGGGCCTCGGCTGTTGATAAGATATCAACCCTTCCACGGGGCCCAGTCCTTTCATAAGGACTAAGGCACAGCCTTCATGACATAATCCTATCCTAAAAGGTCCCACCTCCCAATACTTTGCAGTGGGGTTGTTTTAACACATAAACTTTGGGAGTCATTCAGTTCATAGCAAATACAGAAAGTAACTCACTTTCAAATAACTAAAGCAGGATAATTCAATTTGGGTACCATCAAACCACTCACTTCTCTTCCCCTTGTTCTCTTCCTTCTGGGAATCAACTATTCACTTTACTGTTTCACCAGAAGATTAGCAGGGAAGAGATAGCAGACCTACAAAGTATACTAGTCAGTTAAAAGCCAGTTACCATGGTATTTTGGTGAATATGATCTTTGAATTGTAAGCCATTTTGTGTCCTTTGTATGTCCAAGCATTACTAAATATATAATTGACCATAATAAACTATTTGAAATTATTTAATAACTTCATTTCAATTATGGTTATGACAATAGAAATTGTATATAGCTGTCCCAAAGTGGTTTTAGTCGTTGTAGGTAAGGAGGGAGATTTTTATATAATTAATATAAATAATTAAACTGGGCCACCTATTTCAACCCCAGCACCACTGACATTTGGACATGGACAATTTGCAAGAAAGCTATCTCTGAACATTATTGTAGACTCCTTCTGAAGTGGTGACAATATATGTCCCCAGAGATTGCCAATGTCTCCTTTGGGGTGGAATCAATACCAATGAAAAGCATAATACTTAAAGCCATATGCTTTCTTCCCTGTGTAGCACTATGTTAAATGAGAGTGAATGGCTTACAGGTATTCCTTAAATAATGTCTGCTGGAGATTCATTCTCATATTTCATCATCCTTACATTTTAATTACTTCTAGTTCTGCTCACTAACTAGTCATCTTTTCTGCCTAGTGTAATTACTACAATCACAAATGTGCATTCAATTATAAAAAACAGGTTTCTTAATGAAACCTAAAACCATCATGTGACCAACACACTTAGATTGTTACTGCATTTAGATTTATCCATAAATGTGTAAGGCTTCACTGCTAAGAAAAAAAGGTTTAGAAGGTAATAAATAAACTGTTACTGTGGCTGGAAAATGTCATGTTTAGGAAATAATAAAATATATTTATGTTCTAAGGAAATTGAAATACACATGGAAAAGTATTTCTTTTACTACCTCTTTCCAAATCAAAGTTTTGACATGGATAACAATAACTCCACAGAAATTGATTTGTGTAGTTGAGGTACATTTTGCCCCCAAAGCACTGTGTTGGGAGAGAGTCATAAATAAGGTCTTCAGGAAGGTCATACAGCAGAAGCCTAGAGGACCATGTTCCATGGATGTATTGGCTAGAACCATTTTTATCTTAAAGTGGATTATTATACACAAAGAGGGAAATACTGAGGAAAGAGAAAATAGTATTTGTAAAACCAT